ATATATATATATATATATATATATATATATATATATATTTACAGTTAATTATGCGTAATAAGAGGTTCTTTATTTTTGAATTACAAATGTTGATTTAATTAGTGATGTTAATTTACCAGAAGTTTTTTTCTTAGATTAATAAAAAAAATAATCAATAGATTCATTAATTATTAAAAGAATTGATAGCTGTAACCCTACATTGATTGTTACACATATTAAAAATATATGATAAAAAAAACGAGAGGACAGAACAGTTAGGTCTGTAAGGTTAATATATCAAACTTAAAATCCAAAACTGTACAGAGAGGAAAGCAGAAGCATCAGACCTGTTTGCGCTGTAAGTTTAAATGAGACAGGAAGGCACTTGAATGAAACAAACTAACTAAATGCTCATCATTCTAAGTATATCTGCTCATATTCAAACATGGTAGTGGCAGCACCATGCTGTGGGATGTTTGTCAAAAAGGCTAACTGAGGCCTACAAAGATTAAATGGATTTGTATGTTGGGATTAAATTGAACACAATGGTTAATAAAAACCTTTGGGAGTCACCTAGTTAGTGAAAAATAAACGCTTTGAGTCCAAATCACACATTTTTTATTGATATATATTTTGCTTATCTAATAATGACTCCTGCACACTCTCCAACTTAGAGGAGTCCTCTTTAAATGTTAATCTTTTTTTTCTCTTATGCATCTGTCAAGTTATACATGTTAAATCTCTAAATATTTTAGCTCCAGCTGCACTTTTTAAAATTCTCCATCACTTTTAACTCCAAATAAAAAGTTTGCAAAAAAAAGGTAAGAGTTTATTTTTAAGGAGAATACTTTATAGGTCTGTGCATATCTTTAAAAATGTACCTCGACGGGATTCCAGGCAGATCCGCTGAAGTCATAAATCTGAAGGATGAGGTGGTTCTGCAGTCTCTTCAGCCACTGAACAGCTATACGTGTATCAGTTACCCAGGTAACGGTTGCTAAGTAGTGGTCGCTGTTGATGGAAAAAGGCAAAATTAAATTAATGTTTAAGAGAATTTCTCAGGGGGAAACGATATGATTGAAGGTATTGTATTACATTGTTCTGAATGCAGCTGGAACAACAACTTCAGTGATTATTGTTGTGTTGTCAGTATCCACAACAAACAGTTTCACAACAGGGTTGGGAGTACCTGGCTGCAACAAAACAACAAAAAACAATCAGATGGGCTGGAAAAGGTTAAAATATGTCAGAGGACATGACAGTCAGAACAACGGTCCCACCTTAGGGTATGGAATGGAAATGGTGCTGGGGTACTGCCCATCGCCATAGAAGGAGTACTCAATATTATGCACCGGAGTGTCATTGAACTCAGCATAGGCCAAATACTTCCCTCCAGGTGACCACCAGAAACCCGCATTAGATGAGAACATCTCCTCTGGAAATGGCAAATCAAAAGCTAAGTAAGTAGCTGCATGATTATATTTTTTTACTGTAATTATATTTCACTTAATGTGATGCTGCAGTATATTGATTTACATTTTATACTAAAGCTAGATTTCCTCAGAAGGAGAATAAGACTGTAGCAGAAAACCCTCATCTGGAAGAAATCAGGCTCAGAAAAAAAAGCCAGGAGTAAATGCCTGACCAAATTCTTCAAGGGAAAAAAAATACTGTTTTGACAGCAAGTTAGAAAAAGCTGCCAATGCGGTCATAGATAGGGAGGTTCCTTGTGGAAAAACTGAACATTGATATAATTCCGTTACCCTCATACACCCAGTCTGGAATCCCGTTTAAGATCTTATTTGGCTCCCCGTTTGTAGTGAGCTGCTGCCTCGGGGACTCAGGGCTGGTCTTCAGATACACGTTGTTGTCCCAAACATATGCCTGCAAAATGAAAACATCGTAAATCAAAAAAAGAAATGAACATGAAGATAAAAAGCATATTTCATAGCGGTAGTCGCTGATATTAACTTTAAGAAAAGTTAATACAGTGATGCAAATAAAAATAAAACATTTTAACAGATAAAAAGTAGATCTCTTATTCATGATGGAATATTTATATCTGTTCTCTATTAATTTCACTCAATAGTGGCCAAGATAGAGAACTAGTGTTGTGTTTAAAACTGAAATGCATTTTGAAATTACGTCGGAGCAAAGCAGCAAGGTGCAGGTAATTAATGGCACATTTTACAATGAAGATTGTATCCATCTCTATAACAGCAGGAGTTCTAGCAGATGTTCGAACACAAAGGCCAGAAAGATGCTTCTGGCAAGAAACAGATGGTGTTTCTCCCTTAAACCGCTGCTATAAGGCAAAGCAGCCGGAGATCCATCACTCTGGATATCTGAGATCGGATCAAAGCGGAGACGGTGGGATCACAATGTGATTTTAGGCCATCAAAGATCAGGCCAATGCTCTCATTCCAACCAATCCGATCCGATCTGGAAAGGAGACGATACAATCTGCTCCTTCAGCTCCACACAGAATTTCTAACCTAATTCTAGTCCTGTAGGAAAATATAGTCCAAAACCTCTGGGACCATACCCAGGGGCGGATTTAGGAAATTTGGGGCCATAGGCGAAGACAGGCAGGGGGTCCTCTGAATTCAGAAGACAACACATTAAAACCGACCAATTATACAGATACATACATTTTAATAGAATATACTATACATTATTTGTTCTACATTTCTTCTTGTCCCTTTTCTTGTTGTTTTCCCCTCTATTTTTTTTTTAACTCTGCTGACTTTTCATGCTGTCTCACAAGCAATGAAAGATTTTTTCCAATCACTAAGCTTCCAACTCACTTAGCTGATTGCTCCTTCCTGTGTTTCCAAAAAGGCGACATCAAAAGTAAATAACTCAGTCCTTCTTTTCACTGTAGATGAGCCATGATCTGCTTAATTGTTCTCCATTTTTCATTTGTATGAAATAGCAGCTGCATGAATCATGACCGCAGACAAGATAGGGGAGAGCAGGAGGCGGGGTTACCAATCCACTTGCTCTGGAGAGCAGAGTTCGCTGCTTTTATATGTTGTTCCCAAAGTCTCCAATAGCAGAAAAAAGTTGCTAGATTTGGTGCTAGGCGCTTTTTTTGTAAGAAAAATGCTAGAGGGGTCTGAAAAGTCACTATATATAGTGACAAAAGCGTTAAGTTGGCAACACTGCTCTTTACATATTTTGTTTTTTTTAATGGTTTGCTGCTGTCAGTTTGGACCTTCCTGAACATGTGCAGCAAATGGACTGATCCAATATGGTGGACACTGAAGGGGGGGCTGAGACACACTTATTATAAGCGTACTGATGGCATTTTATGAAAACATAATAAATATGCACGAATAGCTGTATTAACCATACATGTAAAAGGAGTTTTATGGGGCCCCCAGGAACTTGGGGCCCTAGGCAACTTCCTAGTTTGGCCTAATGGTAAATCTGCCCCTGACCATGCCTCAGGTAGCCCTGCTGCTTCTAAAACGAAGCGAGAGTTTAGAAATAATGCTCTTTAGCCAGATGGGACCAAAGTTGAGATACTTGGCAAGTATGCAGGGTATATTTGATGGAAAGAAAAATGCATGAAAACATGTGTTACATACAAAACGGCCACGGAGTTGTTTCTGCAAAGAGGATTCTAAAAACTACTCAGAGGGTGTACTTAGTCTTCAGACACAGCTTTTCTATTTAGGCTTTCTTTCTTCCATGAATGTTTAAACGAACTTGTCTTCTGCAGGCTTACCAGTTTGTTCCCAGTAGGAGCCCAAGCAAAGTACTGGACTATATCTGGAATATCAGCGGGGCTGACATCTTTGCTGGAAGAGATGTGAATCAGTTCTTTTTATAATCGTAAAAGCAAAGTTAAAAAAAGATCAAATTTTGAAATATCTGTGTTTAAGATTTCATTGCAATAGCAGCAATTTTGCAGCACGAATAAAACGAATAATGAAATAGATGACTTACTTTGAATCTCGATCATAGAGGCTATAAGAAGCTGTGAATGAGTGTCTCCACACCTGATAGATAAACAAAATAAAGGGGTTAAAATCCATAAAGGCGTCATGTTTGACACTAAACAGGACTGAAAAGCTCGCCGTACCTTGTTATAGTTGCTCATGAAAGCGACATATCTGCGGTCAGCAGACAGCATGTAGTCATAGGCGTGCCGTGCTATCTGCATTGTCCAAAGAAATATTAGGAACCCATGCCATTTTCTTTTAGATTAACTTTATTTATCCTGACATTTATTGGGTAAAAATTAGTAGTTTGAGAAGAATGACTTACAAACAAGTCTCTGTTCAGAAATTCTTTAACATCACTTGTCTTCACGTCGTAGAGGGAGACAGAGTCGTCGGATTCTCTGTGCAAATACTCAGAATCTGTTGTGTAGGATCAGAGAAATGGATGGAGAATCAGCCAGAGGAGTTACAGAGAAAAACAACTTTATAGAAATGAGCTGTGCATGACTCACAATGAGCTAATGGTGCATGTCCTGTTTTTGCAGTACTCAATAAATTCAATGCCTTACAAATGGTTACACACACCCTTACATTTCACTATGTTTAAAAAGGAGAATGCATATAATATGTGTTCGTGTTGGACCCTACTGAATCAAAACCTTGAAGAAACATCAACTCTTGCAGTTTTTAACTGGCTTGGACTAGATTGAAATAGTTTATATGCCTTGATGTTGGTTTCAAGTAGGATTATATCTGAATTAGACCTGCAAGTCGATAGAAACCAGTTAACTAATGGGTCTGCTTATGTGTCTGTGTTCTCCTTTTAAAAGAGGAACCTCTGTCATCACTTATGTCTGTCAGCTCTTTAAGGATCTTCCATTATGGGCAAGCTTTGGTGGCGCTTTGGTTGGCGAGCACGACACATGCATAGAGGCCTTAGTTCTCAACCTGGCTAACCCTGCTTCGCATCTGACCTGTGGTCCCTTGCCCCATGTCTCTCCCCCTCTCTCATACCCCATTTCCTATCAGCCTACTTTTAAAAAAACGTGCCACTAGTGCCGTAAAAACAGGACAAAAAACTGAAAAAAAAAGGATAATCAATTATTTAGCTTGATCTGCCACTAATTTTAATCTTTTCTCCCTGCATGTTGATCCCTCTACCCTGAAATTAGCTTCATCCAACTCTGTCTTCCTTTTTTTCCCTACAATATTTTAATTACAGCATCCTATTCTTGTAATTTTTATATATTTTTTCCACTTTGTTAAGCAAAATAATCACAACTAACACATCTCAATCAAGTACATTTTCCTTTTTTGTAAGAACAATAAACACCCTTCACATACAAACAAAAAGCTAAATACAAGACATATTCAAATAGCTAAATAACTTAAATAGACGTAGCCACAGCCTCAGTATGTCCATTTTAAGCATTGGGGTCTGGAACTGTCCAGCTTCCTTTTCTCTACTGAAAGAAACCATCCCCACAACATGATAGTGCCACCACCGTGTTTCCCTGTGGGGTCACTGTGTTCAGTGTGAGGTACAGGGTTAGTTTACACTACTACAAATACAAGAAGGTATTTTCCATACCTTCCCCCTCATGTTAGCTGTGTCCCGTACATGCTTTGCATACATTTTCAGATTCACCAGATTAACCCCCAAAACACAATGGAACCATTTATGCTTCTGATCCGACAGATATTAAGATGTCCAATAACTGGATTTAAAGTAATTTCGTTACTCTAGATTCATTATAATGAACGATTAATCTACTTTTAGATATTAATTTCTAGAAAAATATGAAAAATTCCGGTTCAACGTTGCCTACTGCTTCATACCAATGATTTTATAAAGCTCTATCAAGACTAAAGTCATGGTCTTTAACTTGATATACTGCATATGAAAACACTTGTAAAACAATTGAAAGGCAGATCAGATAAAGGTACAGGATTATAAAATTCTTTAGAGAGTTTTACGGCTCTACAAGTACGTACACGCCTCAGTGTTATCAGTGGAATCATGTTCTGTTCACATGACGTGATTTAACCATTTCTCCCACCTGATATCCATTTCATGTTGTAGAACGCTGGTCTCAGTGAGGAGTTGAAGACGTCGGTCAGTGTGAACGTTTTTGTGATGGACGCCTCATCCTCTGAAACACAGTTTTAGTCAAAATAGCACTTATTAATTTTGTCTTAAAGCTGATTTGATTAGCCCTAACACACATCGTTAAGTGTCATCATTTCAGTCTCACCTCAGTGAGCGGCGATTTAAAGTAACTTGTATATATTTATGTATCACATTAGGGTTAATTACAGATATTTAGTTCTATAGTAATCTTGTATTTTTCTCATCATGGCGGAATAGCCAAAGAGGAACAAACCCAAAACACCTGTAAATGGGAAGAGAGGAAGACATTTCTTTCCAGATATATCCTTGAACCAAATGTAGATTTGAGCATTTTTATCATTTATTTCTATAATCAATGGAAATTTTTAACTATGTATTCCCTAGTGGTGTCAAAAGTACACATATTTCTTACTTAAGTAGAAGTATAGATACTACAGTTTAGGAACACTCTGGTAAAAGTTGAAGTATGTGAAAAAGTATGTGCTCCAAAAACTACTTAAAGAATAAAAATATAAAGTAACCTTTACAAAAAAAAAAACAGTCAGATGCCACTATATGAATTGAAAGCTCAATGTTTTAACTGTTTTGAAAAATTCTTTGAGATAGGGCCAAGGATGAGGGAGGTCTTTTTGGTCTCCATCTCCCGATACGCTCTCGCTTGTGTCCGACCTTTCAGACATTACAACATCTTTTTCTGAATCCCACATTGTAGCATGGCATAGACAATTCACTTTAGCAGTTTGAAGAACACCAGCTTGCTTCTGATGATTTCCTTTAGCTAACCAATGAGTGTTTGCGTTATATGACTCATCCAATGACACTAGTTTTCTCTAGATGTGGACGGAGCCAATGATCTGCATTGGATGGAGCACATGACGTGAAATAAATATTTATAAACATTAAACCGAAGCCAAGAGTAACGAGTAACGTTTGCTTTAAAAATGTAAGGAATAGAAAGTAAAGATACTTGTGTGAAAATGTAATGAGTAGAAGTCAAAAGTAGGAAGAAAAATAAATAATGGAGTCCTAAAAAGTTTACTTAAGTACAGTAACGAAGTATTTGTACTTCGTTATTTGACACCTCTGATATTTTTAACATGCAATTCATTTTAAAATGCAAAGAACCCAAACAAAGCCACCTCAGAAGTTATCCACTTGTGGGAATTGATGCCATTTTATCCTGAGCTTTACGTGTTTCTAAATGCAGCTGCTGCAGAAGTTATTGTTTTTATTCGGGAATCATGTAGGGTACGTGATTAAAATATCTGTTTTGTAAGATGTGAGTTTCCACACAGAAGTTTTCTTCTTATTAATATCCTTTTCTGGCGAGTAATGTTTTGTTTTAAAAACTTAAGGAATAGAAAGTACAGATACTTGTGTGAAAATGTAATGAGTAGAAGTCAGAAGTAGGAAGAAAAATAAGTAATGGAGTATAGATACCTAAAAAGTGTACTTAAGTACAGTAACGAAGTATTACTTTTTCACTTCTACTTGAATAAAGAGGTCAAATTGATACTTCCACTTTTACCAGAATTTTTTTTAAACTGCAGTATCTATACTTCTACTTAAGTAACAAATGTGTGTACTTTTGACACCACTGGTAACAAAGTATTTGTACTTAGTTACTTGAAACCTCTGGTATTCCCTCAAACACTGGACATCCATACCAGATTTTTAAAAATGTGTCCATATTTTCCCCTCAAATCATTTTTACATAGTTGTCTTTGTGTTTATTACATAATTACAACACTTTAGACCCAGCATAATTCCTTCATGTTTTCTTGTTTTGCAGTGAAAATATCCTTGTATAAAACCGCATTCCTTCACAAAATGTTCTCACAAATCAAACTCCACAGAAATCGCGTTTCCTCTTGAGGAGAAACCAATATTTCTGCATTTGTGAGCCGAATATTTCCCTTTAAACTGCAAACATAGAGCCAACCGTGCGTAATGACGCGCGCCTGTCAGCCTGCGCGGCGCGCCGCTACAGGAGGAATAACGGGAAACACGCACCTTTTAGAAATATTACCGTGGGGACCGCAATCAAAATGACCACCACGGCAACCCCTAGGACACCGAGCAGAACTTTGGAGACGGAAACCTGCAAAAAAATAAAAAATAAAAAAAAAGAGAGAAAAAAATCAGAGAAACGCCTTTAATGAGACAAAAAAAGTAAAATATCCAAGTTGGAACAAATACTTACCATTGTTTCTGCGATTGTTACCCTTCCCAATCAAAACGCATCGATTTCCCCAAAGCTACGCACAGAGGGAACTGTAAAGTAACGCGAAAGTCATGCTTTAGAGTTAAACATTATCCCAGCTGAAGTTTCAAAGGTGGGACAGTAAAATCTCCAGCGGTGTAAAGTTCTCCAGTGTTTGAGGAAATGGTTTCCCCAAACTGTCAACCCTGCAGCCGTCACAACACAGCAGCCTGCTGACCATGCGTTACTCCCCTGGAATTACTGATTAGTTTATGCTGACTGTAGAAAAACCTTCTTCAACTTATTTCAATGTCTAAATTGAAGCCTTTGTATTAATTTAAAGAAGTTATGTACATAAGTTTGCCTAAAAATGTGAAATCTTAGATTTTTTTAAATATACATTATTTGATTAATTAAGAAGGCTTGCGATGAGCTAAAATATAAAAGATTATTATGAAAAAAATTAAATGAAAAAGGAAAAAAATGACTGGAGCCACAGGGCCCTCTGACCAACAAACAGCAGGTGATGTGGGTCAAACGTGTTAACCCTTTATAGGGCACTTAGTGAAATACTTTGAAAGTCTTTAGTTATTGGAATCCATGAGAAGACCCCATTACCTTTGCAACAATAAAAAAATATGGATATTTTGATCGCAAAAATCAATGTAGTAAGAAGAAACTTGCCCGAATATTTTAAGAAAATTAACAAGAAAAACACTCTGAAAGTAAAAAAAATGTATTTTGGTACAACATCACCTTAGAGGCATTAATCCTGATACAGGCACTTAAATTTTTTTAGTTTATAAACCTAAATATGATTGTAAACTAGGCTTTAACTTTACTTTTTGACTTTTCAATTAGCTTTTTACCTTTTTTTCTTGACTTCAACTTAATTTACAGTAGGTAATATATCATTGAAGCCCTCATCTAATTGGTAGAATGCCAAAATAAGATGTACAGCCATGTAGCAGGATATTTGCTAAATGACTGGATATAGATCTTATGCTTCTGGACCTCACTGAGGGACGTGGAGGCTCTTTTTGTACGGGGTCTGCAAGTGATCAAAAACGCTAACTTGCCCTATAAAGGGTTAAGCACACAACGGCTGAGACTGAAGGAATTGGGGCTCGAACCAACAACCCATTGTTCACAGTACAGATTCCTAAGTCCTGAGCCCATTGCTGCTTAAATTATGAATTTCATACATGACAGGTACAGACCAACATTTTATGGCTTCAGGTTTATACTGTAGGAACTTAGAGATTATTATATAGATATAATATAGAACTTACAATGTACTCTCCAGAACTTTAAATGAACTCCTGAAATCTTTGGTAGCCCCTGTTTTATCAGGTATATTACAAGTCATATAGTATAGCTTCTGAAAGTACCCTGTAAATTCTGGAAAGTAACCTGTAAGTTCATACAAAGTTCCAGAAAGTAAGAGGCACATAATAGTATAATGATAATTCACACACTAATACAGACCAGCTTCTGAAAGTACCCTATAAGTTCTGGATACTAACCTGTAAGTTGCTGTAAAGTACCAAAAATTAGGGTGAATTATAGTATATTACAATTTATATACTAATACAGCCCAGCTTCTAAACGTACCCTGTAAATTCTGGAAAGTAACCTGTAAGTTCCTGTAAAGTTCCAGAAAGTCAGGGTATGTGAATGTTTTTTTGAAAGTACCTGATAAATTCAATGGAGTTTCATGTATGTAACCATTGAGTACCATTGCAGTTCCAGTATCTTACATGAAGTTCTTGAAAGTATTCAGTAAATTCCAAGAAAGGTTCAAGATAAGTGATATCTGATAAGTTTCATGGTAATTATACGGCTTAGAGGGGTTATCTGTGAAGATTCCATGTTAGTTTTAACAAATGTCCTGAAAATAGCCTCTAAACTCTGGGAAAAGATTATGTATTATGTAGTACTACTCGGGTATGTTAAGTTAAGAGTATAAGTAAAAAAATATCAGTGCTAAAGAAGCTGATAGTTACCCAACCTTATTAAGGGGAAATTTCAGAGAAATAAAAACGGTACAGAATAAATAATGGCACCATTAATCAGCATATTCTATTTAAAAAAAAAGGACTTTGTTTACAAGTTTAAAGACTTTTTTCGCTTCCCATTGAAGAAGATTTTTCAATTCAATATGTCTGGAATAGTGTTGAGTTCCAGGTTTTATACAGTAGCCCAACAAAGCCTTGTTTTTGTTTTGAAAGCATGCAAATTGGACTCAACACACATGACATTTTGAATCGAAAAAGCTTCTTGGATGGGAAGCGAAACCTCTTCAAACTTAGAAACAAAGTGTATTATTTTAAATTTTCTTTATTTGCAATGACTATGACCTGAATGACTGAGAATCTTCACCACTGTGATCTATATTTCCTTACTTTCAGTTTTGATAGTTATCCGGGAGATTGTGCTGCTACACTGCAAAAACGATCTCAAAATGAGTAAAAATGTCTTAAATTAAGAGTATTTACCCTTAATTTGAGCAGGTAAATAACATTAATTGCCAATGGAATGAGTATATTTACTCTTAAAATAAGGTATCTAGATATTATGCACTTGAAATAAGACAATGCAATTGTTTTTTCTTATTTTAAGTGTAAATTGTCTTGTTCCGTTGGGAAAGTGTCTCACTTAAATACTTAATTCAAGAAAAAATTACTCATTTAGATAAAAAATTTTTGCAGTGTAAAAATGACAAGAAACCATAGTCCATTTGTGCACCAACATTTAAACCACTACCAGTTTAAATGTGTTTAGCAGTCTTCATTCACTCAGTGACCAAAGTGTCAGCCTTCTCTTTAAGATGCTGCAGATCACAAATTGCTTCAGTTTGACTAACATAAACAACAACAAAGTTAGTATTTTATTTGCTAGTAGAGGAAAAAAATAGAAATAAAAAATAGAAACACTTATTCTTACTTTTTTGGCCATTTTTTGGCCATTCAGTACCTTCTGTCAGTAAAAAACAGATATCCTTTTATCACAGATATCCTATTATCACAGCTGACACTGCATTGCTGCCAGGCTGCAATATACAGTAGAGCACAGTATTATAAAGCTGGGACTGTAGCCAATAACCTGACTGCCATAAATGCCAGTAAATTAATACTCAATATTTACACGTTCATTAATGGTCGTCCGTTCCTGAAGGGGGAAAGTGAAACCACATACTTGACTGATAATGGTAATACCAGACGAAAGCCTTAGAATATAATTCACATTTTAGTAAAAGCACATGGCCGCCTTGAATCGTCTATTTCTGCTGTGTTTTCACAGACAGTGGGAGTTAGTTTTTTTGTACATAGTCTAAAATCCGACTGTAAATGTTAACAGCCTGTTAAAAGCTTAACAAATACAGAGCCGTGTCTTTATGAGGATCAGCCATCATATTATTACGCAGTCATTCCCCTCACACCGGACATCCTCAGCAAACAAACACACCATGGATGTCTTCTCTAATGCAGCGTGGCTTTGTTTGCGGAGTGGCGCTTTGCAGATAAATCCATTTACCAGATACTTAAGCTGACTGGAACCGTTTATTGTTGTCACTTCGAATGCATTTGGTCTTATTGGACAATCAGAGTGCTGATGTCACTGAGATCCAACAGAAAACAACAGGAAGAAGAGGGAAAATTATTGTATTATATTAATCATATATGAAATAATACTAATGTTTAAAATGTTTTAAGATAGTTTAATAAAAAAAAAAAATAAAAGTTGGTGTAAAAGTATTTCTTATACATTTAAAATGAACCAACAGTTGTGTGCAGAGTTTTAGATTTCCAAAAGTCTATCAGAGGAAGTGGAGTTCAGTACAGTTCATACTATGCTTATCAGATTTATTTTTGATAAAAGCATTTTAACGCTACGAATCTTTTCACTTTACAAACATGCACTACTTACTGTTTCAGATTCTTCATTTCAGTTCACTAGAGTCACTGTTGCAGAAATGACTGAGAACCATAGATGAGAATCAGCTTGTTACTAACTCGTGCATTGCAGTGTTCAGTGTTTATTCCCAGGGATAAACAGGGAGGCTAGGCTGTCACTTCAGCAGATGTGGTGCAAGGGTCACTGCTGTAATGGCATTCTTGGCTTGGATCTTAATTATGTTTAGGTTTGGGACTTGTTAAGAGGAAAAGCGGTGTTTGTAATGAGCCAGCGGAGCTTCTGTTTACATCCTTATAGCACATCTGCATGGGGAACATTAGCAAACAGTGTCTCCTCCTCTGCATAAAGACGCATCAAACTCTCTACTCATATTTCAGTCGAATGATTAGGGAACAAAATTCAATTAATTTTAATGGGTTTTATGAGAGAGGCCAACAAAGTAGTGCTTGGTTTTTAAGTAGAAGAACACAATATACAATATTTATAGTTCATTTCTTTAATCCAAATCACTAAACCAATGATTACCTATGAAAGTTTCACATTCATGTCATTTTTTTAATCCAGCACAACCAACAACCACAAAAAGAAACACTAATCTTTGCTGTGAAGAACTTATTTGCATGTAGAATAACTGTCAGGGATAAACAGATGTAGTCTGCACCTGTCAGGGGGTGGAACTGTTGGACATTTAGGTGGGATTATTTACTCTGTTTAGAGTAATGAGGCCGACGACCGTCTCCAGTGGTGGTGGGATTCAACCTGAACAGTTCCTTAGCTGGATGCAGTAACTTTTGATGTCACAGAGGTACAATTTGAGATCTTAACCTGAGCAAACATGGATGTTTGTGGGGCTGAAGGAGAAAACTAGAGTACCTTTACATAAAAAACAACATATTTTTAGTTAACGATGTTTCCACAAAATAATCTGCAACAACTTCACTTTCTTGGCTGTTAATGGTTCATATCCAGGGTTCAACTGACCCAGTTGCTGCAGTCATGCATGAGTGCTGAAACCCCCCACCAATGGTGTATAGTTGATTTATAACCACAAGGATCCACAAAACTCAAGAGAACAGAAAGTTCCAGCCCATACACTCAGGAGAAGCACATTATGTACTTGCTGCATCACATTTTCATCAACTTGATGTCTTGATGAGATCAGATTGTGCAAAATGAGCTATTTCTCCTTAAGCTTGTCCATTTTGTTAAAAGTAACTAACTTAAAGGTTAAGTGGGAGTTGTGTGTCCCTTGAAAAGGACCTTTTATACTCCAGGTTTTGAAAATATCACATTTATTATC